CGAGTCGTTCGCACGCCAGACCACCGGTCCGCCCGCACAGAGTGCACGTGATGACGGGCGCAGCTGCGGCCGGGCGAAAGACTCTAACACGCCAAATGTATGAGTCACAAAGCCAATGAAGTCACGCCTTACTTGAGACCACAATCTCATTGGTCTAGTCTTGCATACATTCGCTTGCTTATGTATGATGTACTAGGTTTGTACAAAGACTGCTAATTTTGCGCTCTTCTTGTTGTGTTCTTCCTTGGGGACTCACACAAGCCGTAATTAAACGGCGACCTCGCAGCTTTGGCCACATTAACAACACAAAGTTCTTGGATAAAACAATTAAGGATGCTAATCCATGGGGCAAAACGTTGAGCATGAAGGAAATCAAATCCACAAAATTAACCTTACGAGAATGAAGTAAGGAACCACAGTTCTAAACCAACAAAATAAAGACCGGTATTTTAAGCCGATGTGACAATCGAATGCTTGAAACAATGGAAAACGGTGATCTTGAATGACAAACACTGGCAAACCGATCGTCTGCCAAAGATCTCCGTGATGTGTCCAATATTTTGAACATCTGAACGTCCTGACGTTAAATGATCAGGCTACTTTTCCCCCGGAAAACCATGTTAGGTCACAAGTGCCCTCACAAAGGCCCAGTATCTGCTTTAGTTTTTACCAAAGGGGCGCTAGTGAGATGTGTTTAACATAATCAGTTCTGCCTATGTTAGAAATTGTGCGAATAAACAAAGAGTGCGAATATGAGATCATTTCGAACCAAATGTAATATATCAAATAACATAAATTTAGAAGGAGTCTACATGGGCTGAATATTCCACGGTAGGCAGTATTTTGTCTATTAAATAAGACTAAGTGGACTTTAGAAAATTGCCGCAAAGATGATTACAGGGCGACACATTGTACGCATGATGCCTAATTCTCCGACCAGAGGGAGTTACCAAAAGATAAGCCGGCAGTTAAATTATAGAAAGTAGACACAGTTAAAAGGACTTTGAATTTTTTTACTATTGAGTAGAAAGCAAAAATACTATGCTAGTAACTCATGAGCAGACGCTAAGCGGCTTTTTAGATGAAACGGGTAGTTACATCCTGACGACAGCGCTGAGGGTTCAAAGAAACGATGAGTGCTATGGCCTTTGTTAGAATACTGACGGTGTCTCAAACAATCGAAGTCACTTAAGAGGGATCTCGGGTTTTTCCCCTTTTATACAAAGAACCTCGAAAATGGCACGGGAGCTATAATGCACAAGCGCACTTTCGATACGATTCTAAGTAGCCTCTTCCGGTCTCCAGAAACGGTCAGACGATATTTTGAGTTGACCCAATTGTGAAAAAACTCGAGGCGCTCGGCGGGATTAGATTCATGGCGCCAGGCAGGGCGTTTGTAGCTCAGTGGTTAGAGCGTTGGCTTCCGGTAAAGGCCTTCTCTATAACTCATCGTGCAGAAGTACTTCGGATAAAGTATATTCTAGGCCAGTAATTACATCCAAAATCCTGCTAATTTTTGAATTAACTCGTCAGTATCAACCCGAGGGCTACCTTATTTTTGGTTACTGAAAAGCCAAATGACATAGTATTGGTTGGAGAATTAAAAATGTGAGAAACCAAGGGAATCCTTATAGGTATCTGCTCAAATTCGTAAATCGAAACCCATGCGGAGTATTCCAAGTTCAATCTGAGTTTTGAGAAACGAACGCTGGTTCTTTAGTGCTTCATTCAGCGGCAGTACAGGCTTTGACCACCAACTGTTAAGGACAAGTCTTGTGATTATAACTGGGAAACTCACCTCGTCTGAGTAGGGAGGTTTGGTCAGATCTATCCTTTCCAACCGCAGGCATTCGATGATTTGATTCTCTAGGACCTTTGTAGTTGCAATACGACCTCCGCCGTTGGATTTTCCACCGTTCCCAAGAGCGTTTGTGTGCAACGAAGATTCATCAATTTTTACAGATTTCGGTGTGGAACCGGGACGTCTCTTCACTGCGACTACCTGATCCCCATTGTTTAGGCCGGAGGTTGGGGTCTTTCGCAGAATTCCAACCGGTGTCTTTGGTAGCTGCAAATTCGAGTGAGTGAGGAAAAGAGAGATAGAGGGGAATCAAGGGTGCATTATAGTACCAAAACAGAAAGCCGTTAATAATATGACTTTGTATGATGGGTTGCATTCTGTTCCGAAAAAAAGTTTTTTAATAAAACTTCCGGCCCCTCTTGGAGGCTCCAACTGCTTGGATGAGAAACAATGCCGCTTGTGCGGCGAAAAGAATTTTATTTTTAAAAAGCAAAGTAAAATTAAGCAAAATTATTAGCTGTTTATGATGCCGAACTTCCAACGCAGAATTGCAGCAGTCTTAGCTGTATGGCTTGCGTCCCTAACCCGTACCCTTTATGCTCTGATCTGACAACTGTCACTAGTCTAAAACAAGCATTCAATTTCCACTGGAGTTTTTGGTAAGATCATTCTAGGGGTTCCCTTTATACCAATGGAAACCTGCAAGCCTTGTTTTCATAACACTATGAATTTTGCGTTTGGCGCGGAGACAAAGGTGGTGTCCTTTGACGGATGTTAGGTAAATTGATATTGAGGCAAAATGTTCTCCCGGTGATCAAACAGAAAAATGATTCATAAAATACTAAAGATCCCTGTTTAAAATGTCGAAAGTAAGCAAACATTTAACGTCAATCGAGCTAAATCTTACGGAACGAGTTGCCTTAGATATAATCACGCCGCTCTCCTCCAATCTTTCCGCTCTCCTACAATTTGCGTTTAAAGCCCGACGTATTACCTTAGCTGCTATTGTTCTTGTGGTCAATTTTCTGCTAAAATATTGAGATAAGGGCTGCCGTGCGTACGCATGTGCATTTTGTGACTACTCCTCGGTCTTTTGTGCTATCCCACTTCATCTC